AGTTTTGTTTTAAACCAGTTTCTAACCTCAGCTGAACAACAGCATTTTAATTAAAGCAAAAGTTTGGATACCTTGCCTTTTTTTTTTTCCCCCCTAATATAGCCTTCCCTATCTCTCCTGAGTAGCTAAAATTAGAACCTGGAGATGGGAAAAGTCAAAACGTAGTAGATTTCTAGAAAGCTCTAGTAAATACTAGCTAGAGCAGACAGAAAAAACCTCAAAAGCAAAACTACACCAACGTATTGTTCATTCCTTTCATACAATTCAGTTTCCAGTAAATAATGAAATCCACTAACAATAAAGCAATAGCCGTGATTCAGCTCACCAATCCCCCTTACACCTGCCCACCAGATTTCAACAACTTGCAAAAAATCATTAAGCATTCAAAGTTAGAAGAGAATTCAACCGTTCCAAATTTCTTAATTCACAAAATCCTCACCCAAGATGAAAGCACAGTCCAATTCTATGAAGAAATAAAGGTTTGCTAAGATGTTTTAGTTATACCTTTATCCCTAGAAACTACAACCACATGATTACCTTTTTGGAACAGTATGAATGAAAGAAGTCATCAGTTTTATCTCAGCCTTTGGAATGCAATTCTTTCAGAAATCAGTTTTTGTCATTTACAAAAACCCAGGCCCTCTCAACAGCAGCTCTGCACTCAGCTTTGCTGGGTCTTCCACCACAGTTATCTCAGCAGCTTCATCGGTTGCTTCCTTGGCAGGTTAGGGCCAAAAAAGCCTAATGAAGAATCAGCTCCACACTTTGAAATAAATTGTTTACTGAATACGTATCTACTGACAGCAACTAGCCTGGCTGCGTCACTTGAACACCCGCCTGAGGAACGCACCCTCCCTAACAATCAACAGGTAAAGGCTTCACAGGGCAAATAACTGCATCGTAGCAAGGAACTCTAAAATTAGTTCCCTGCAGCTCTCTCACAGCCTCTCTCCACTGCCCTAGAGACTACCACTGCAATAACTTCACCTTCACCTACAGCATAACCAGTACACATTTCTAATACACTATTCTAGAAAACCTCAAACAAAAAACCAAAACAAAAAACCCAACACCACCCCGAAAAAGGGGTTGGGGGTAACATTTAAGGATGCCTAGAATTCTAAATTACCAAACATTTCTTGAAAATTGGACTTCTTTTGAAGCTGTACTTTACATAAAAGCCTACTGGTGATATTCAGTACTATAACTAGAACACATACATTACTACTGTGTCTTTGATCCTCAAGTGGACCTTCCAAATATCCTCCAATGTGGTTTTAGAGAAGCCATTCCTCACATTCCTGTATGTGCCATCTGATACCCAGTTACTCCACTGAAAATCATCTTTGATTTATGTCTTACTTCCTATCTCATCCTAATCAACTCACCTTCTTTTCTAAGCATTCTGCAAATTTCAACTGCTTCAACAGCTTCTTCTGCTTGTTGCTGAAGCGATTGTCCTGTTCTGCACTTGTTCCCTAAAGCACAAGAAATAAGATTTTTAGTCTGTATGACATTCAACTATCTTCAAGTGTTAGTTTCCCACATATTTGCACTGGGCAGTGCACATCAACACCAGTTATATCATTCTGTAAGCAAATGAGCCTTTTCTGGTGAAATGAGCCTTTGCAGGTGCCTTTCAGTTTTAGCACTATAGTCTTCATCTATGGCTGAAGATTTAGGGGTACGCAGGCTCCTGAGCTCTACAGCAACACCTTAACCATATAATCTTCCTGCCATGCTACTTACAAATTTAAAAATACAGTAGTACCAAATTGCTATGAAAAGGACTTTTGCTGGAATTCACAAACTCCTCAGAAGGAATAAACTTTTTCCTCTGTCCCAGAACAAAAACATCGTATTTGTTTACAGTGACATCTATAAAACCTTTCGGTAAATCTCTCCAAAGTAAATCGGCCAACACAGAGCCAGCAAGAGTACAAAGAATGCTATTTTATTGATCATGCTCCGTTAAAGTTCACCAACTCGTTCCACTTTCATGAACAGAAACTATAGGTTAATTCATTTGGAATTGAAAGGCTTGAAGTCCAGTTCTGGAAAATTTTACTTGCACAGAAGTAAACAGAACCACACAGATACAAGAGTATGTGCAGAACTGCATCCAAATACTGACGACCTGTTAATGATTCAAAACAAATCCACAGCTCACGCATGAAGTTACATTTATTCAGGAAACCAACCTGACTGATGGAAAACAGAAGAATTTAATACACGCAGTTTCCTATGCACAGAAGAAGGGGTTGAATATGAGCAATAATATAAGCTGCTAAGGAAGCAAAAAATAAGAAAAAGATTAAATCCTAAGGTAACCTAACTACTTCATCTGATCAGAAAGCACTTTGAATTAGCAACGTAACATGCTACAAAGTCATCAGATACTGAAAGAGCACAAACTATTAACATTCCCATTTGCTATTCTGGCACACAGGAACCCTAAAGACCGATTGTGGCATGGGCACTTACCAGACTTAATCAGTCTCTTTAAAACTCTTTATAATAATGGCAGTCTGCTGTGTGGCTTACACATTAGCAACAAATGCAATACTGCTGGATCACTTCAGAATTTAATGTTCCATACTTTTTAAAAAATTTCTTTCACAACCCAGAGACGAAATAGAAAGGAATGAAATTTTTCTTAGCCTGTTTATATAACACATGGCAAGCAGCAAGGGTAACCAAATGAGACACAGAATACAGTATCACAGGAATTTCAAGGCAGAGACAAAATAGTTTGCACTGACGACTTTACAAAAGCTTGAAGAAGTGAAAGAATTATTAATAGCATCTTTCTTGATATGGTGAGTTCAAACAGCTGCTCTGCTGCACTTCTGTAATTTCCACAAGAACATTGGTTTCTCCTGAACCCGGACTAAAACTGGACCAGAATATTGTTTACAGACCCATTTCAGTGCCATGTTGCTTCTGTTTTTATAAACAAACACCTTTCACAAGCCAGTTTAAAAGAATATTGATTTGTAATTCAGTGTTTTCCATCCCAGTAATTCTGCCATCAATTAGAACTACTTGATTTGTAAACTTTCAACAATTGCATTAGACAGAATAAGTGTAGATTTAACGTGTAGTTATTTTTCTCAGGCTAGTACATTATCCAAAACTTAATTAAGTGAAGGGTTATGAGTGTCCTCATGTTTTAAATAGCTTCCTAGTTGCAGGAATAGAAAATAATAGAGCTGAACAGGTGAATGAATCTTGGAAAATTAAATCGGTTTTCAAAACTGCCAAGGAAGCCCTCAAAAATAAGTTCATTCTAATTAACGGAAGAAAAGGCTGAAAATAAGTATACCCTAGATAAGTTACTGTTTAATAGTCTGCAGAAAATACAGTGCAGCTGTAAGAATAAAAAAAGTCAATGATTAAAAAATATAGCATAAAAAAAGGGCAGTTTTGTTTATTTGCTTTGAATGTGGACACCAAACTGCATTTCACTGCAAAATCCGGTTCACCTCCCATCTGCCCCTCGGCCTTTTCTCCCACACTTCCTCGCATTCGAGGGCCGTCAGAGGCCCTCAGCTCCTCGGGACGCAGCCGTGACACA